TTGCAATTGTGAGGAAAAATTTTGAAAGATATAACCCAACCTCAAAAAGTTATTATATCGGTAATATGTGACATTTCATCGGATGCAGACGTAAAGGCGAGGATTGGAAAAGCAAGGGCCGCATTCCAACAATTGAAGAACATATGAAACTCAAAACAATTGTAAACCAATATCAAAGTCAGAATCTTCAGTTCGAACGTCAAGATAGTTCTACTAAACGAGTTGAAACTTGGAGAACTAATACAACTGTCATCGAAAAGGTACAAGTATTTATAAACAGTGGTCTACGCAAGAGACGCAATACCATCAGCAATAGCCTTCTCTGGAAGAGAACAAACCAGCTTCCAGATGAAGAGGAAATTAGGAAAAGACAATGGAAATGAATAGGACATACATTACGCAAATCATCAAACTGTATCACGAGGCAATCCCTAACTTGGAATCTTGAAGTGAAGCGGAAAAAAGGAAGACCAAAGAACACATTACGTCGGAAAATAGAAGCAGATATGAAAAGGATGAATAACAACTGGAAAGAACTGGAAAAGATTGTCCGAGACAGAGTTCGGTGAAGGATGCTGGTTGGCGGCCTATGCTGCTCAATAGGCAGCAACCTTAGGAGAGTGACAAGCTGAGTTAATATCTATCATAGAAACTAAAATATTAAATAAGTCATCTTGCTTATACAATATTAATTCATAAAAAAAAATAAAGTGTAAAATTATTTTTATTTGGTTCAATTTAAACATTAGCACCGTTGGATACCACTCAGCTCAGTGGTCTAATAGTTGAGCGCTCACGTGCGATATTGATAAATCTTGGGGGGAAGGCAGGATCGTAGATACGCACTAGTGAGGAGTCCCATACTGGGACGAAACAGCCATCCAGTACTTCCAGGTTTTCTTCAAATGACTCATGATCTCAACTACTGAACTTACTGAAATCTCCACCAGACCCCTCCTGACAAAAAAACCGTGATTTTTTTCGGACATTTTTCTTTTTTATTTCAACTGGTAGATAATAATTTTACTAAATTGATACTTCAATATAAAACATTAAAGTTTTATTAGTTTGCATTCCTTCTTTTTTTAAAGCAAAGTAACAATATTTTAATCATTATTATTTGTCTCTAAGACACTTTAATTCTTCTTCTTCTTCATCTTTTTCATCAACAATAAAAACTATTTGTTACGTTTATTTTTGTGAATTCTAATTTTATATCTATCAATTTATAACATTTTGATGATTAGAAGAAAGTTAATTGAATAGTAGCCATAGTGATTTGAATAGGACTGTCTATGCAATCATTACTTTTATATATTACTATCACTGAATTAACTATTTCTATGAATCCGATGTTCATCTTGTTGTGTTAATGAGGTAATGAGGTAACTTGGATCAATGCATATATGTGCTTGGTCCTACGTTGTATCTGACTGACTGATAGAAGGAATCATATAATTCAAATACAAAACATGATTCAATTTAGAAATATAAATTATTAAATGGTTACACAAGTCAAAATAATTCTTTGATTCAATTCCAAATCGAATTATTGTTATTTATCATTAACGAGTTAAAATAATTGTCTAGTATGTATTAGTATCAGAAAGGTTTTTTTAAAGATTGTAGTAATTTTATTAGTTGAAATTATGAGTCAATTGAAGTTAGACCATTATGAAAAACCTAGAAGTACTGAACGACTGTTTCGTCCTATTGTGGAACTCTTCAGCAGTACTTATTAGTTTATTATGATGATCTACTTATAATCAATCTATGATTTAAACTGTAGAATTGAAAACAATTAAACTGATAACTATCAAACAATGTGAAATTGAAGTTCATTTTTTCACTCGAAAATTTATTGATTTAATAATCAGGATGTCAGTAAATGATTACAACGTTAAGTTATAAGTTGATAACTTGATTTTGATGGTATAAAACATTTCATCTCTTAAGTTTTGAATGAACAAATTCAACTGAAGTTTAATATACTTGGTATTGTTTTACTTGAATCTTCCTATTGATGTCTAAGACGGAAATTGATCAGTCTCTTTTTGGCATATGTGCATACTCTGCGTATTGCCTTCAATTTACAAGCATTATAAGCAAAGATGGGTTCGAGTCTCAGAGTGAACATCAACTCTGAGATGCAGGTACATCCAGCTGACGAGTCCCAAAATAGGGCCAAACGCGCGTCTTGGATTCCGCTGCTAGCTATTATCCCATCAACTAAAGTTGTTTTACTGGAATTATTTCAGCTTCTTGTTATTCGACCGTGATCTACTGTCGATCAGATTTTATACTGAAGGTTAATGCTCTCTATTTGAACATTAGTTTGGATGGAACTTAATGAATAATAGAAGTTGAGGTTTCAATCTTTATTCATTGGTCACTATCATTAATAAATTAGGTCAGTGTTCCTGTAAACGATCTAGGAGAAATAGACGCAATACGCATTTACTCTTATAATAAATAATCCGATTATGTAGGGAAAAAACAAAGTAAACTAAATCTTTTTTTTAAAGATGTGACTGAAATAGTTTGTAATCAGTATGTTATAAATTGATAGTGTTAGACGTAAGAAACTAATAAATGGAGATGATTAATATTGAAATGAACTTCATTTCTGATCAGATTTTACAAAGTATTCCTATCAAGTTTGAGAGTAGAATTAAAATCATCAAACTAGTTTGAGTTCTTTATTTCTACAATTACTTAGGTTGAGTAGATAGGTGGAAAGGGATAAATATTTAACTGAATGAAGCCGAACCTAAGTCTATCAACTGATTGAAAACAATATGTTTCCATTGATAATAATGTACACATTAGGAAGACTAACAGAAAATCTTAGGAAAATAGATTATATGTTCCAAATCCTGAATTTTATTACTGGTTACAATCTAATTATGGATGTTCTTAATATTAAAGCACACATTCAATAAGCATATATATTGCCAAAATAGACTGATTGAATTTTGTCGTGAATTTTTAAAAACAGAATGATACCAACATTTACAATGATAAAATCTATTCAAAAATTAAGAGATCACATAAACTTGACATTAATTCCCGGCTCTATGATCAGCCGTTGTGAATATCTTTGTCTTGTAAAGCGTTATTTTTGGCCTGTAAAGTTCAGTTGTAACGCTGCAGACAGTGAAGCTAGATGGCATCAATTGGAATCACAAAATGAACATCAATCTTCTCGTACTGCTTAAGAGTTTCTTATAGAAAGTCAAAAATGGTTTCCTGTCGACAACCTACAACTACCTAACATCTAAACTTAGTCCGTCCGATGTTAAGTTCCTTACGATGATAGACAAATTATAACCTGATCAATAGAACTCGATCAGACTTAAACAACTAGAGAAACATTGACATTGGTCACTGTTCAATGAATTATCAGTTGTAAATGATTTATTTCTTGTCTCCCAAGTCAGACTAAATTTATATTTTTACCTTTGTTTATAACAAGTAGATATAACTCATGTATATGGTTGAGCTCAACATCTTAAGTGATCTTGAGTTAACAAGTAACTGAACTGATACTATTGAATAAAGGCTGGTTGATACTGATTTGCATTTATAGCATCCAATGAAAAGTAGATGTGTGCTAATTATTTATTTTCTGGAGCTTAAAATCAGTGCAAAATAACAATGTTTTCTTATGATCAGTAGTAAAAGTGATATGGCTTTGAGATTATTAAGGAAATTATAACTCTTATCCTATTATGTGATACAATTTAACAAACATTCTTTATCATTACTACTAATCATTCATATTTCTTATAAAAACTGACTACTTGGTCTTAACCAAAGTGAAGATATGTATAGTGTATCCACAGCTACTTCATACCTCTCTATGCGTGATATATACTAGTGTATACATAGTTTAGAAGAAAACTATGAGTTATCAAACTAGGATAGTCACTGCATAATTAGCTCAGTGATAATATACAAACTCAAATCTCACTAGAATCATTAGTTACTACAAGATTACAAAGATATATTCTTGATGATTGTTATTCAATGAAGAACTTGTATATTTACATCCTTAATGATTATTTTCAACTATCTACAATTTAATATTATTTGCTATTAAAAATAATAAATAATCAGGATAATCTAATGATGATTATACCCATAAATAAAATGTTATTTGTTTCAAAAACAACAAGGCAAAAGAAAACAACAAATAACCTGATTGATTTTCATAGATCATAATAATTGACTAAGGTATTATACAACCTCAAGATAATATTACAAAAATACAAATATATATATTTATACATAGTAGTAGTAGTGGTGGTGGTGGTGGTTGTAGTAGTAGTGGGGATAGTAGTAGTAGTGGTGGTAGTAATAGTAGTAGTAATAGTAATAGGACAAGTGTGTTAAGAGATAAAGGAAACATTTTTTGTTTGAATAAAAGTACATTTTATTCACTGAGAATACTTTACTCTTCTTATAATTATGAAATAGTGATATACACAAATGGTGAGAGTAGATTTGTATTATTAGATAGGGAAAGAAATGTTCATACAGTTCTCAAGGAAATCTTTGATAAAAAAGAAAACGAAGAATAACATAGATGAGGTCGAATAATAATCTCAAATGAATTTTGGAAGTGGTCATTTAAATGAAAAAAAGTCAATTTTATTTACAACTGAAGATAGAATTATTGATGTATTTGTAATGTAACGTTGACAACTGCAATACTTATATGAGTGATGTGGGACATATTTTTTTTACAGGAAACATTTTAGCTACTAAATACAATAATAAGTAGTTTGCTGGATATATGCTAACATTAGCCTATGACACGTATTCATTAATACAGTTATAATGAAATTACTTAAGATTATCGACTACAACCATAATTATACATGCTTGAATAGTATATATATAACGACAGTTATGTGTATATAGAACTAATGTTAGTCCATTTAATGTTGTAAAAAAAGTATTGGATTCAAAGTAGTTCACTGATTTTGTCAGATGTATCAGACATCCGTTTCAATAGTTTTATTAAATGAGTGTTGTTGTTTAGAAGGGAAAGCTTTAGATTTTTTCGTTTTCTCAGTTTCATTACCACTGCTACTTACATGTTTCTTGATGCAGTCATGGCTGGAAACAAAGTGAGCTGGTGAATTAAGGCATATTTTATCATCTGATGGTTGTACATGTGAAGTTGATATTGTAATATCATCTGTAATTTTAAGTACCGGTTGATTTTGTTCAGAGAATAACTTCTCTGATATTTCAACTTCATTTCTTTCCATATCTGTACTATTTTCGTTATTATCATACGTATCTTGTTGATCATTTTGATGATTATCAATATTTTCTTCTAAGTAATATCTTACAGGTAAATATTGATTGTTATTAGAGTCCACAATTTGACTTTCACAAGATTCATTAATTGTTTCATGTAGGCAACTTAATAATCTCCCTTTAAGGTTTCCACTAACTTTAAATGATTGGGTGCATTTTGGTACATTTTCTCCCTCTGTTCTAATACAAAGAGGGAGAGATAAACTTCGAGTAATTTTACTGATGTATGGCGTTGAACTTACATCTTTTTTGTTTAAATTTGGTGCACTCATTTCTTCTTGAATACTTGAATAGATTTGAATAGGTTGAGGAGAACCGAAATCATTTGTTATTTTTGTATCATTAGTATCTTCATTAGTCATTGATTTAACGAATGTACCAGTGGTCTCATTACTCAATATATTAAAAGATTGTGGGGGATGAATTGTTGATTTTGACAATAAAATATCATCATACTCATTACTTTCTTTAAATGATGATCTATGTTCATTCCGTTTGGCTAGATAATTATCTTCCTGGTGTATATTCGGCCAACTTGCCAATGATTTAGATCGTTTTTGATGCTTCATATCAATAAGTTGATCATTCTTTATTTCAGTATCGATTGGTTTATATTGTTTCCGTTGTTCATTTATCATTGATCCTGTATCACATTTATTATTAGAATTTAAACTACTTAAACTTAAATTAGCATAACTTGTACATGATTGAACATGTATAAATGTTTGTTTATCTTCAGTTTCAGTTTCTCTATGATAAAAATAATTGAAATTTGAAACAATCACAGGTACTGGTAATGCAATAGTTAATACACCGGCAATAGCACATAATGATCCAACAAGTTTACCCCACATTGTTACAGGTCTCATATCACCATAACCAACTGTTGTCATAGTAACTACAGCCCACCAAAATGCATCTGGTATACTACGAAAATATGTTCTATCTGAATCAACTTCAGCAAAATAAACCGCGGATGAAAATAATATAACACATATTAATAAAAAAAATACTAATAAACCTAATTCACGTGTACTTGCTTTTAATGTTTGACCAAGTATTTGTAAACCTTTTGAATGTCTTGATAATTTAAATATACGAAATACACGTACAAGACGTATTACTCTTAATATAGCTAATGACATAGCTTGATTTTGACTTTTACTTTCATCAGCAACCATTGTACCAACTGTTATAAAATATGGTATAATTGCAACTATATCAATAAAATTCATAATATTTTTAAAAAATGCAATTTTTTGAGGCGATGAAATAAAACGTATTAATAATTCAAATGTAAACCATATAATACAAATGGTTTCAATTAAAAAAAATGGATCTATAACAGTAGGGATATCATCTTCTATAATTAATAAACATTTCATTGGATCATAATGATAATAACAATCAATAAATGATAAATATAAATCATCTGTTGTTTTTATTGATAAATTATAATCATTTATTGATCGATTTATATTGATTGAATGATTTTTCATTAAATCAATAGTATTGATATTTTGATTGGATATTAAGAATAATGATGATAATGATGACAATGATGGTGGTAATGATGGCGATGATGATGGGGATGATGATGATGGTGAGATTGGTATATGATATGAAGATAAATTCACAAATTTATAATGTTTAAATGATGGTAATGTTTCAATACAAAAGATAATAATTGATAATATAATAACAAATATAGAACAAATTGCAATACAACGTGCTGATATAGAACTTTCAGGATATTCAAATAATAACCATAATTTACGTTGTAATTTATTATTTGGTAAAATTTTCACATCTTCACGTATAAAACCTTCATCATCACGATATTTTTCAATGGCATCTTCATCTAATTCATAAAAATTAATTTCTTCAGTAAATACATCAATGGGTACATTCACTGGACGACGTAATCGACCACCACTTTGATAATAATATAATATTGCATCGAAACTAGGACGATTACGATCAAAAAAATATTCATTTCTTAATGAATCATAATATTGATCTAATTTTTTTGGATTACCTAATAATGTATTAGGAAATTTATTTAATGTACTAAATTGGGTTTCATAACGTAAACCAGATATATTTAATATAATACGTTGATTATCATGATTGATTTTATGATGATTTAAATTATGTTTTATATGATTTAATTGTATATTATTATTATTATTATCGTTAGTAACTGTATTTAAATGGCATTTATTAGTTGCTAAGGGAGTAGTTGCTATGGTATTATCTAATTGATGATATGAATTTATTGATGATAAATCATTTTTATTAAATGTTTTTTGCCAATTATTAATATTATTATGTAATAATTTTTCATTTAATTTAGTCTCTGAAATACTATATGGTAAATAAGATAAATTAGGTGAATTATGATTTGTATGAATTAAACTTGTACCTGATGATAATAATTTAGTATAATCAGATGTATCTAATTGATTATGATTTTGTTGTGTTATTGTATATGTATCTTGTGATGAACTACAACATAATGGTATATTAGTAGAATTATGAGAAAATATACTACCGGTATAAGTATATAAATTAGATGGATTAGATAAACCTGTACTACCTCCACCAGCACCAACCATACCACTATAAGGTCGTGTACCATATGATCTAAAATTGAATAATAAAACAAAATAATCAATTCATGAGAAGAAATGAAGTTAATTATTATTATTATTATCAGAATGGGTTTTGTGGAGATTGTAGTAAGTTCAATAGTTGTAATCATGAGTTAATTGAAGCTAAACCATCATGGAAAATCTAGAAGCACTGAACGGCTGTTTCGTCATAGTATGGGACTCCTCGGTAGTGCACATCCACGAAACTTTAAAAACTGATTGTTTTGGAATAATTAAATTGATACTTTATGTTACCATTTGGTAAAATCATCATCAATCACCATGATTCAATCAAAAGTTATTTAGAATTTTTTTTGTTTCTAGTTAACATTCTTAGATAGTGAATCTTCATAACTTTAAACTGAATTAAATTCAGTATTTCTTTATTACCACAGTGAAAAATCTATGGTTCAGTTAATGATTTTAAATCCAATATTTCATATATAATAATGGTAAATTCATTTGGTATTGTTTGGCTTGTATCTTCCCATTGAGGTTTAAGACTGAAAATGATCAGTCTGTTATTGACATATATGCATACTCTCCGTATGCCTCGATATTCCCTTAATTAACAAGCATCTTGTGAGCAATGATGGATAGTGGCTAGCAGTGGAATCCGGGACTCTGTAGCTGAGTGGATAACGTGATGGCGTTTGAAGCGAATGGTACTGGGTTCGAGTCCCAGAGTGAACATCAACACATACAGGTACATCCAGCTGACGAGTCCCAAATGGGACGAAACGCGCGTCCTGGATTCCACTGCTAGCCATTATCCATTATTGCTTATAATAATGGTAATTCTTGTATTTAAGGTGTTTCTGTTTAAAATTTCAAATACATTATATACTACTGGTAACATTAACATAGATTATAATTTAGAATATTGTTATGTCCAGATAAGCATAATGAATGGTAACTTTAGGGATTCATTTATGGACCAATACTATGCGTACATTTTCATCGTATAATTGTTAAATAACTAAACTATTCATAATCATGTTCCTTTTATTATAAGCTTTATTTTGACCCATAGACTATTATTATACGATTTACCATTCTTGAGTTATACCCAGTATATTAACTACTACCTCCCTCATTCACAGCCAATTTTGGCTAGATCGTGTACAAATGTTGTTTTTCATTTTATGGTACGATTTGGTCTGTCTAGTTGGTAATATAAACCAAGTATGTTTTAAATAAATGATTCATATCTCAGAGGCTGAGAGTGGTATTCTGAACTCAACAGGCAGTGCTACACAGGAAGAATTACGGATAAGAACACTAGACTTCTCGTACGTGTTTTATGAGTCATTAGTTCGATCGATAATTCACTGCTCTCTAATTGGCGGTATCATTGCTTTATACATTAACAGAGCAAACAGGCCACAAGTTATAACAGCTATTTATAAAATAATCATTTCAATCTTCTAACATACAAGTGTTCTTAAATTCTAATTTTACGTAAAATAAATTTGATTAATGAAGCAACAATTATGAAAAAAATTTAAAAAATTGATATTTACTACTTATTAGTTTTTTTTAGCAGTTAAGATCATGAGTCAATTGAACATAGATCATCATAGAAAACCTGAAACCACAGGACAGACGTTTCGTCCTATTGTAGGACTCCTCAGCCATGCCTATCCACGATCTCGTCACGCGAGATTCGAACCTAGGACCTATCAATATCGCGCATGAGCGCTTAACCATTAGACCACTGAGCTGACCGGCATCCAACGGTGTTAATGTTTAACTTGAATTCATCCACGAAATGTAGCAATGTTTCTAGGTTACCTACAAAACCCCTTCGGATATTTGTCTTTTAAGAAGTAGTTTCAAGAGACTACTGTAAACATAAAAATTCGGTTTTTCGATAAAGCTCAGCTCATTTTTAACACTGGTATTTCATATTATCAAACTATAAATAGAAATATTCATGTTTTTCTCTCTAATATTACTAAACAAACAATAAAATAATGTTGAACCAGTGAAAAGTTTCATCCTGATCATCATATGTTTTAGCGTTTTGTGATGTTTGTAGATTTTTAGTCCTACAGTATGAATTAACACAAACAAGATAACTAGTGAACATCGAAGAGCAGTGGGTTAACGCTTTATCACTACTATGGGACATTTTAAAGTATTTCGGAATTCACTATCCGACCATAAATTCAGTTTAGGCTTCATAGCAGGAGAGCATCAACTTTTGGCAACTAAGTTGGGATTTAACCTCATTCAGTTTATGATCTTGCAAAACTATCACCTATGATTGTCGATGATAATTGTGTTGCGATCGACATGGTTAAATTATACTGGTCAAGACACTAAACTTAAAATTTATATACATGTATACTTGAGAAAAAATCGAGAGATCACTGCGATTCCTATGATGTGAAGTAAGAACACCAAGACTAATACAATTGAAGATTTATTAACCTTAAAACACTACGACGACTTTAATCGAAAACACATTGAAGACATATATATTGATTGCACTCTTATTTTAATAATTAATTAAGATGAAATCACATATATGAAAGATGCTCAGAGTTATCACATGCTATATTTCATGCTGAGCATAGTCCTCGTTGATTTAATACAACAATATCCATCGTATTTTGAACAAACACATCACAGTGAAATAAATCAGTGTTATATCGAATAAAATATCACATTGGAAAACAAAACCGAATACTGCACTGAGTAATTATTACATTGAACTAAAACAGAGGTAATGTTGAACACAAACCATAATGAGTAAAGGACTGTAATTTTGTTTATTCTTCACGTCATATATAGGGAGAGTGAGGGAGGGAGAGAGAGAATGCGTTACTCTAAGTATTTAAATAATAAATATAGCAGTTCCAAAATTCAAATATTTAGCAAATACAATCGCTTTTCACAATTGACTGATCACCACCCCGTGATCAATCAATTGTGATTATATCTCAGTCCTACAGTAGGTCAGTCACGGCCCGGATAGCTCACTGGTAACGTCTCTGACTGTGAAACTGGGTGACACGGGATCGAGTCCGCCAGTGAGCACCAGTTCCCACGAGATTACAGGTACACCTTGCTGACGAGTGCCAAGTAGCACGAAACACGGGTCCAGGGTTTCCTGTTGACTACCTCCAACCAACATCTAACAATCGCTTTTCTCTTTTTTTGTTTCTTTTCTATCCAGAAATCGACATAACTCCTCATAATATTTTCTTTCTTTTTTCTTCTTTTCTTTTCCTCTCTTATACATTTACATCAGATGTTGAAAATTATGAAACTATGTTTTTAGTTTAAGTGGTTTAGAATAAAAAAAGAAACCACAACCTTTTCTTTATATTTTAGTTATCTGAATGAAATAATATTCAGGTGCATTTTGAATATTAACTATTACATAAGATCCTGTTATTTTTTATGTTTGTTTAGTTGCATTAGTAATAACGTGAGCTAAAAAAGATACTTTTAAATCATCTGTTCAAGTGTTAGTATACTAGAGCTGATATACCTTCGTAAATAGATCGGTTTAAATGTTGGAATAGTTAGTGTCTCATGTCATTAAAAAAAACAGCGACTTTTATAATACGATTATCTGATCGAAACCTTGACTTAATGAAGTAAACTACTTATTATTACTAGTATGGAAGATTTGTGGAGATTGTTGAATCTCATTGAATTCCATAGCATTGAATAGTGTTTTAAAGTAATCAGCTGTTATTGACTTTCATCTTAGTTGTTTACGATTACCATATTTTCCAAGATACTAGAATATTCAGAGTTCAAAACCAAACAGTGTGTTCTAATTATGGCATATGGGTGATGATTCTCAAATTCATCAGTTCTTTGACTGACAACTGTTTCATTAGTCAGTGACAAAATGTTCTTATGCAAAATCTATTCATTAGATATATGTCAGTCAGTCAGTCAGTCAGTAACAATATAGAACGTCGTGCGTACGTACATCAGTTCGAGTTGCCATACCACATTAGCATACAGATGCAGTTGTCGACTCTGATCACATAGTGGTAGTAAGAGCATAAGCAATAATCGGAAAGATTAGGGTTTCAAGATGTTATTCAAGCAGTATAATAAAGTGAAATAAATTTGGAAAGAAAATAAGGGACATGAAGAATTCAGATGATTAGAATTTGGGAGAGCACAAAGAGTAGATGCACTTGCGCCACTGCAAACGGTTTTGAGCCATGTCATTTAGGGTCTCTAACCATCGGTCGCTATCATCTCGCTGTCCACAATCAGGTAGTCTACACCTACCAACATGGCTCAGCCGACTTGTCAGTGACTTCATGGACTTGCGCTATGTTTTGGTCTGGCCGCCCCTAGCTTTCTACCGACCTACTACTACACCGTAAAACATAGCACATCGAGGCAGTCGGTGGTTGGGCATAGATATATGGGATTTCAATAAACTATACATTTTTTGTTGGTAGAAAACCGTCTATTAGTTACTCTTTTCACTATAGAAACAAAAACAAAAAAATGAAAATAGTAATCTAGATTCGAAAAAATAATATTAGTCACGTTAAAGATTTTAGCCGAAAATCATTATTCTCTCAGACAAACAAAAACATTATCAGTATGAAGAAACCTGTAAATGATGCATAAATATATATAGAGAAAGAAAAAGAAAGAAAGAAAGGAAGAACGAGAGGAAGAGAGAGATAGTAAGAATAAATGTGGACTTGTAAACAAGAACGTGATAACAGTTTATTTGATTGATAGTTATTCATATGACAGCCTGACTACAACAAAATGTCGATTAATACATTTCGAAATAATAAACAGATTAGGATATAATGAACTAAAGAAATCAATCATATTATGATGGAGTTTTCTTCTCTGAGCTAAATGGTTTGGTCGTGCAACTTTCATTGTTCTTCTGAACAACATCATCAGCACAAACTTCAGATGAAAACCAATCATATATATATATTGTAGACTCCACTACGGGAGTACACACCAATAAGATAGAAGCAATGT